GATGTTGAGCTGCAATCCATATTGAAGCCTGCAGTCCTTGACCTTCTGTAGCAAGCACTTCAGGTCCTCTTCAGGTCCTCCTCAGTTTCGGCAAGCAAGATTGTGTCATCTGCATAACACAGGTTGTTGATGAGTCTTCCTCCAATCCTGATGCCAACATTCCTCGTCATATAATCCAGCTTCCCAAATGATTTGTTCTGCGTATAGATTGGAAAAGTATGGAGATAAGATGCATCCTTGATGCACATCTTTCCTGATTTTGAAACAGACAGTATTTCCTTGCTCTGTTCTGACGACTGCTTCCTGGTCCACATATGGGTTTGCATGAGCACAATCAAATGCTTTGGGATTCCCATTCTCCTTAAGGTTAGTCACAGTTTGTTGTGGCTGCATCCTAGTTGGCAAATGAGGACTCATTTGTGCTCAAATTTGGTAATGAGCTAGATTTTAGCAGTACAAATGTAGAACAGTCTCCCCAAAAGTGTCACAGATAACAGTAAAATTATAATAGTGAATAGCTGGGGAAGGATAGTGACACTATAACCTAAGACAATAATAAAGGAGAAAAAGGGAGTTTCTGTAACTTCTTGCCAGTTTCTATAACTTCTCTATCTATCTATCTATCTATCCATACATACACACACACACACACACACACACACACACACACATAATTGGCAGCATCATGATAGGTGGTGAAGAGATTGAGATTGTTAACATCTTCAGTTTGCTTGGCTCTACAATCAACACTCTTGGTACCAACAGCCAGAAAATTAAAAGATGAATAGCATTGGGAAAGTCTGCTGTCAGAGACCTCTCCAAGGTACTGAAGAGCAACAATGTCAGTCTGGAGACTAAAGTGCACTTGATATAGGCCGTGGTCTTTGTAATTGCTTGCTGTGCATCAAAGAGCTGGACAATGACTGGGGATGATAGAAGGAGAGCTGATGCCTTTGAGCTGTGGTGCTGGAGAAGAGTATTGAATATGCCATATACTGCTAGGAGGACAAATAAGTTTGTCCTGGAGAGGGTGAAGCCAGGCTGCTCCATGGAGGCAAGAATTCTGAAGCTCTGTCTGACATACTTCAGACATGTTGTAAGCAGGGACCAGTCCTTGGCGAGGGACATAATTTTTGGGAGGGTGGAGGGATAGCACAGGAGAGGAAGACCCTCAATGAGATGGATTGATTCAGTGGCTGGGGTAATAGGGGTAGGTGTGTCATAGATAATAAGATTAGCACAGGATAGAGCAGGCTTTAGGGCTGTTGTACATAGGGTCGCTATGAGTCACAGGCAATTCAGTGGCACATAACAAACAACTAACTCTCTCTGTATGTATGTATATGAAAGTCTCCAGACAGATTGTTTTCTCAGAGTTTGGCCCCAAAGGCAGATTATAGTTTCACAAGGCAGATAACAGGATAGGGAAACTAGAGCCCAGGAGGGGAAAGTGTCAGAGAATCATGATAAAGAGGGAGCTTAACACAATGAATCCAAAATGTTGGATGTGAACACCTAGGCTTCCTCTCAAGTAGATCTGATCCTATACAGCATACGTTCTGTTGGCCTAGTGGCAAGAAGGGGCACTGCCATCTTGAAAGCACATGTTTCAAGTCTACCAGCTGCTCTGAGGAGAAGGATGGGCAGGCTCCTCCTGTGAGATTAACATAGATCTGCTATGGGTCAGTTCTGACTTAATGGTAAACAACCACAGTCTGAGTAATTGACCCTCCAGTGGGTTTTTAGAGGTAGTAAATCACATGAAAGGACATGATTCCTCCTCCCATAGAGCATCTAGTAGATTCGAACCAAGTGCCTTTGGGATTGCAGCACAGCTTCTTACCACTAGGCCACCAGAGCTTGCTAGCCTGGGTAGAACAGTGAACAAGATGGATCAAAACAGGACTGTACAGACTGTAGAAACAAGTGAGTTTGTAACCATAGAAATGGAGCAGGAATTTCTGGCCTGAACCTACATCGTTCAAGCTTCTGTTAAAACAAACAGAACAGAGAGTGTTTACACAGGACTCAGCATTCCATAACATGATATAATCTAAAATGACTATGAAACTGTGAAATACCAATCAAGAGACAATCAAGGGCTACCAGGCCTGAGGTGCCATGGATGGAGCAATGCCAGCTCCCGAGTTAACGACTGTTAACTACGCCCTAAGAATTAAGCATCCACGATGGCTTAGTGGACAGGAAGTTGCACTGTGCTTGTGCACTGGAACACACTCATGAATACACAGGGGGAGGCTGAGTAACAATGATGGATTTTACCTGGGTCTGTGTCCTGGTTTGATAGTGCAATATAATTTTGTAAAATGTTACCATGGGGTAAAAGGAGTCCAAAGATATAAGAGCTATTCTTGCATTGGGGAGCTCTGGTGGTCTACTAGTAAAGAGGTGTGCTGCCAACCCGAAGGCACATGGTTTGAATCCACCAGCGGCTCCTTGGGAGAAGGGTGAACAGTCTCCTTTTGTGCAATTTATAGCTGCTGAACACCTGCTGGAGGATCAGCTATGAGTCGATTGCAACTTGAAGGCACATAACAACAACATTCCTGTATTAATTTAATAACTGCATATGAGTGAAGAACAATGATCTCAATAAAATGCCAAATAAAAAGTAAGAACCTAATGGGTATTTTAGAACTAAAACGCCTTAATAACAGGAAACTAAAGAAGGCTGCCCTCAGAAAAACCTCTTATCCTCTGCCTGTTCCGTCTGTGCTCTCCTAATGTTCCCTTCGTGCCTGGACAATTGTAATAATTTCTGCTGTTCTGTGATTCCCAGATTTCTTCTCGTTATTTTCAAAATTTTTTCCTCTATTTATAAACAGACGGTTATTTGAAGATCTCATCTGCCAGTTTAGCATTTGCTATCAGCTCAAAAGTAGAAAGTTTCATGTGCCTCACAGTTTCTGTTTACACGCTGCTTTTGTGGGAGCCTGGGGAGCGGCCCTTGGGCTCCTTCTATACACCTTTTTTGCTTCTGTGGCCGCCCTAAGAACCTGTCCTCAATGGGCCTTTCTAACTCCAGTGCTTTGATTCATCTAGGCCATTATGTCAACAGGAGACACACTCGTGGAATTTGACTGCAAAGAGGGTTTGGTGTTTTGTTTTGGGTTGGTTTTTTTCCCCCATTTTCATTCCTTCTGATTGGCCTTTTTTGTGCTTTCCTCTGTAGAGGACAGTCCAGTTTATCTGTTATTGGTTCTTTGTGGAAACAAATGCCAACTTGCATTTTGCATTAAGAAACTGGAACACCTACACCCCCCATCCCCCCAATCCTGGTATACACCTCCTGTGCACAGGGTCGATCTTGTATTGCTGAAACTGTACACCCACTTTGCTGTAGCTGCTGCAGAATAGGGACGATGACTGTCTTGGCGCCAGCATCATGCTCTCCACCTGTAACTCTCTTCATGGTAGTCCTCTTCAGAGCCCATCAAATCAGAGTTTCGTTCTTTGAAGAAGGTTCCTCAAATTCCTTCTCTTACCAGGCATTCTGACACTCTAAAGTTTTACCCTGACATATTAATCCAATCTTAATTCTCTTAAATCCCAGAAGTCATCTTTCTTCCAGCCAAACTACTCAACATTTGCTGACTGTATCTTCTGAGGTGTCTCTGTGGAGGGGGAGAGGAATGCGTTTAGATACCTCAGTTCTCCCTGCATGCCCTTCTAGTTTTCTCTGCAGTAGATGTGACCCGTTCCTCAAGATTCGTCTCTGAATGTGATCATAATCACAATGAGGCATTAGTTTATTATTTTAGCTTTGATTATTGTTTACTACTTCTATGTTAGCACTCATAAAAACCACACTCATGTTTAATGTATATTTTTGTCTTTGCGTCCTGTAAAATTGAAAAGGCCCTGTATTGAGCGCATTTCCTCAGCCAGAATCCTTACTCAGCGCGGAGAATTGGAGTGAATGCCTGACAGTTTAAAATGGACTGTGGTCCATTTAAACAAGGTTTCTTGTTTAAATAATTAAGTTCTGAAGAATTTGAACAGAAGTCTTACTACAATATTGTTCCAAAGTTTAATTATTTTAGTGATTTTTTCCCCCTTTACATGAAAGTTATATGGGATGAGGCGGTGAAGTGCTGCTTTGCAGAATGTTGTTGTTGTTGTT